GGTGTGGGGTATATCGGTGTGTTACAGTGAGGGGTGTGGGGTATATCGGTGTGTTCCAGTGAGGGGTGTGGGGTATATCGGTGTGTTACAGTGAGGGGTGTGGGGTATATAGGTGTGTTACTGTGAGGGGTGTGGGGTCTACCAGGGTGTTACAGTGAGGTGTGTGGGGTATATCAGGATGTTACAATGAGGGGTATGGGGTATATCAGTTTCTTACAGTGAGGGTTATTGGGTATATCAGAGTGTTGCAGTGAGGTATGTTGGGTATATCAGTGTGTTACAGTGAGGGGTTTCAGTGAGAGTTATGGGGTATATCAGTGTGTTACAGCGAGGGGTGTAGGGTATATCAATATGTTACAGTGAGGTGTGCGGGGTATATCAGTGTGTTACACTGAGGGGTGTGGGATATATCAGAGTGTTACAGTGAGGGGTGTGAGGTATATCAGTGTGTTACACTGAGGGGTGTGGGGTATATCAGTGTGTTACAGTGAGGGGTGTAGGGTATATCAGTGCGTTACAGTGAGAGGTGTGGGGTATATCGGTGTGTTACACTGAGGGGTGTGGGGTATATCAGTGCGTTACAGTGAGGGGTGAGGGGTGTGGGGTATATCAGAGTGTTATACTGAGGGGTGTGGGGTATATCAGAGTGTTAAACTGAGGAGTGTGGGATATATCAGAGTGTTACAGTGAGGGGTGTGGGATATATCAGAGTGTTACAGTGAGGGGTGTGGGATATATCAGAGTGTTACAGTGAGGGGTGTGGGATATATCAGAGTGTTACACTGAGGGGTGTGGGGTATATCAGAGTGTTAAACTGAGGAGTGCGGGATATATCAGAGTGTTACAGTAAGGGGTGTTGCGCGGCTGTAACATGGGTAAAATATGCCTACTCACTGGCTCAGAGGCACTGCGGTCAATATTGACGGCCCTGAGCCCTGACCGCTCCTGAACCCGGTGCCTCCATTTCCCTCACATCCCACCCGCTGCTAGGAACCCAACCACATATTGCCTCAACAAACTCATTCCCCTCCCCTCCCCTGCCCTCTAGATCTTCCCCGATTCTCCTCAATCCATGTTCCCCTCCTTCCTCTGGAAACCAACTCTCCTCCCAGTGGGGAATGGTTTCTCCCTCGTTCACCTGTATTGAAACCTGTCCCTTCGTGATTTGGAACACTTCAATTCACAATCTCCACCTGAACCCTCTCTGCCTCTCAGGGGAACTGAATTGTTTGTGTTTTAGTCGATGACCTTTATTTACCAGCAGTCTTTGGGCCCTCTTCCTCTGCCGGGGTGACTGGCTTCTCTTTTATCACTTTCTCTACTTTCTTCCCCATTGTCACTTTCGTCAGCGCGCTGAGGAGACGGACAGAAAGATCACTCAGACACAAGGACAACCAGAAGTACCTCTCCATCACCCTCCCTATCACTCTCTCAGTCTCTCCATCCCCCCCATCTCTATCAACCTGTCCCCCTGCCCATCTCCATCAATCTCCGTTGCCTCCCCACCACTATCTCTCCATCATTCTCTCTGACTCCCTAGCCATGTCTCTATCAAGCGCTCTGTCCCATCCCCACCGTTTCCCCATCAATCACTCCGTTCCCACCGCACTACCTCTCCATCAAGCACTCTCTCACCCCCTCCATTCCTCTCTCTCGATCTCTATCACCACTGTCTTCTCTACCCTTTCTCACTCTCTCACACTCTAGCCCTTCCTCTCTCCCTTGCTATCTCTCTAGACCTTCCTCTCTCCCTCTGTCCTCCCTCTCTCTCCCTCTCTCCCCCTCTCCCCTTCACTCTCTCTCCTTCTCCCTCTCTATCCCTCTCTCTTCCCCCCCTTCTCTCCTTCTCTCTCTATCCCTGTCTCAATCTCTGTCCTTCCCTCCCTCTCTCTCTATCTATCCCTCCCATTCTCTCTCTATCCCTCCCACTCTCTCTCTATCCCTCCCACTGTCTCTATCTATCCCTCCCTCCCTCCCTCCCTCTCTCTCTATCGCTCCCTCCTCTCGCTTTATCCATCCTTCCCTCACTCTCCCTCTATCCATCCCTCTCCCTCTCCCTCCATCCCTCTCCCTCCATCTCGCTCTCTCTCTCTCCCTCTCCCTTCATCTTTCTCTCCCTGTCCCTCCATCTATCTCTCCCTCTCCCTCTCACTCCATCTTTCTCTCCCTCTCCCTCCATCTATCCCTCCCTCTCCCTC